CACCAAAGTTATCTTATGTTTCGTTTCCTAAGCTCTTGACTGTAATTTAGAAGAAAACAATTCCTTGCAGAGCATCCTGAGCACTAATGGCCAGTACTCCAAGTTCATCACTCATTTTCACTGCCGTGGCGTTCTTCTAGTAGTAGGCTTCACCTACAGACAGAAGAGCTGGGCTGGAGGTGAGGGGTCTTAGACTGGATGGATACACTGAATCAGCCTCCTAGAAACTGAGCTAGTGTTTCAAGTGTTTCCAAACACACAACTGGTGTGCACAGCTGGGGGCTGCATTACACAAGGGCAGAAATTCTGGATCCCAGATGTCTGGATTTGAATCTTGGCTCCAGCACCAGTTGTGTGTGACCTTAAGTGACATGTCTTTTCTCTGCCTCAGTTTTCTATCTCTAAAAGAGCTAATCAGTTATGAGCCCAAATACATTAAAAACTACCAAGCACTTCAGTACTATGGGCTTGTAATCTAAGTATGGTTTTCCTCAGTATCTAGAGGGGATAGGTTCTGGGATCTCTGGGGATACCAAAATCCATGGATGCTCAAAGCCATTACATAAGATGGAATGATATTTGCATAGAACATTGACACATCTGCTCAAATATTTTAGCTCATCTCTGGATTTCTTATAATACTAATATAAATACTATGTAAACATCTGTTATACTGTATTGTTTAGAAAATAATGACAAGAAAAGACGTACATGTTCAGTACAGATTCAACTTTTGGTGCAAATTTGGTTGAACCCATAGATGCTGAACCCACAGATGTGGAGAACTGACTGTAGTATTTGCAAAATAAGTACAGTCTTCTCTTCAACCTTATGTTAACTAAAACATCTCAAGTCCCTCCTAACTTTATGCTGTTATTAAACTGGGCCCAGGATGAGGAGTTACAGTAACCAAGGTCCAATTTTTCTGTGGCTAATCTACTCACACTTTGCTAAAATGATTCTTCATCTGATTACGCATCCATCAATACACCTAAAGTTTTATTATGAAAATAAGTATTTCTTCACATAAACCTGTAATACATTTAAAATTGTTGCAAGAAATAATTACTACTGATAGATTTGTAATAGACCAAATACTTTGGATACTGGATAACATGGACATTATTGGATTCTAGGTTATTCAATTTAATTTTATGTGAATTTTTTTAATTCTAAATTTTGTCTGACAACAGATTTCAAGTGCCTTGACAAATACCACATGAGGAAAGAAAGTATCCCATCATGTGCCTCTCTGGACAGAGAAACTTTTCAAAGCAAATCCTCATCTGTAACATATTTTACTAGGCTCTTTTCCAAACCAGCCTACTAAATCAGTTTTAATATTTTTCAGTGAAGATAGATCAACAATAGCCACCTTTATTCACCTACAGAAGTACATTTTAGAAACATCCTAATGAGTGCTTAAATACAATAATCTTTTCATGCCCTGTGTGGTCTTCACAGAAACTATTACCAGGTGCTCCAGAAAGAGTAAAAACACCAAGATGCCCATAAATATACAACTTCAGCTCACTCATTTCTTCTGGGAACTTCTTCGGGGGTACAGTGGGTATCTATCTGGTAGCTTATAATGTAAAGCAAGTTTGTTCGCCTAGCCAGCTCTAGTTACAGCATTCTTGTCCAGCAACTGCCACAGTGCATGAAACATTTGGATTTTTAGAAATCACACTTCATACCTTTATGTAGTATATCTTGGCATAAGGTTTGGTTTGCTTCTTTTCATAGTCCAATATATGGCAATACTTGCCTGCAATCTAAAGCTCACATAACTCCATGAGACTAAATGCCATTTTTTCAGAGTGTGAGACAATACACTTCCATCCTTTCCTTCAGAAAAAAATCCTAGCAAGTGGTAAATGCATGAATGGACACTGAACGCACAATCTTTGAGTGTTATTTTGATAGTTAATTGGTTGGCTGAAAAAAATAAATGAAAATCATCTAGTGAACATCTCAAGCTCAATTACGAAACATTTCTGAAAATATTTGTTCCAATAGACCCTGTAAAGGAGGTATTTCTTACTCAAGTGAAGGAGACAGCTGTGTAGTCTTTTTTTCCTTCTTCTTCTTCTTCTTGGTATTGGACACTGAATCCAGGGCTTTTGCATGGACTCAGGGCTTTCATTACATCCCCATCTATTATTTTAGTTTTTATTTTGAGACATGGCCTCATGAATTTCCTAAGGTAGGGCTTGAACAAGTGATTCTCCTTCAGCCTTCAGTAGTGCTGGGATTACAGATGTGTTACCCCCAGACTCCTCTTACTTTAATATTTCCGTACTTACCGCCATAACCAAGATATGGGAGATAACAGCTGAACTAAATCAACTTTTGAAAACCGGCAAGTCTCAAAGAAAATTAAATTATCTTATTAAAAAGATATATGCATTGCTATGCTTATTGCAGTGGGATCCATAGTCAAGATACGGAATCATCCAAGAGTTTGTTAGTAGAGGGATAAAGAATGTGGTTTAAAAAATGTGGTGTATGTACACAATGGAATATTATTCAACCATAAAAAGGAATGAAATCTTGCCATTTGCAGCAAAATGAAGACTTAGGGGACATGATAGTAAATGAAATAAGCTAGATACAGAAAGACAAATACCACATGTTCACATAAATATGTAAAACTTTAAAAGGTGATTTGAAAGTTGAGAAGAGCAGTTACTACAGGACAAGAAGGATAGGCAGGGGTGGAGAGAAGGAGTTTAGATAACACAAAACCAAGCACAGTTAGACAGGAGGAAAAGTTCTAGTGTTCTGTCACATTGTAGGTTTACTATGGTTCACAAAAACTAAATCATAGTAATTTTATGAAGAACTAGAAGAAAAGTTTTCCAGCATAAAGAAATGATAAGGTAGTGGATGATGATCCTGATTTGACCAGTACATACTGTATGCATGTATTGAAATATGATATTGTACTTTATAAATATGTACAATTATTACCTGTTGATTAAAAGAAAAATTTTAAAGTTAAAAAAATAGAATTAGTAGAAATTTTGTTTTACACGCTTTGCTTAAAAGTAAGAACATGGTCTCTGGAGCCATGCATTCCTCAGTTTGAAATCACAGGTAATGCACTGTGTTCTTATAGACAAAAGGAAAATAAGGAGACACACACCTTTGGGTTGCTGCGAACACCACTGATCCTGCAGGCTGGTAACTCAGTGCTATGGAAAGGAGGTTGTGATTCTGAGGCTTGTAAAATGGAACCTTGACCACTGGCATCATCAGCAAATGAGTTTTCTCCTGGGAAGGCCAATGTATTCCTCTCAGTTACTCTGTTCATTGATATTAATTTCTAAAAACTTAACTCAGTTTCATGCTTTAGAGTAAAATATGCAACCTGCAGGGTTTTTTTTTTCTGATGTTTGATGAATTCCTATGTAGTTATTCTTTCTAAACATCAGGTAGGGTTGCTGGATATATGTTACTGTAAAAATATAAGAAACTGGCTAAGTGGGTATTGGACCCAACACATTCCATGAAATATTTTATTGCTGATTTGTTTTTCAAAAGCCATGATATGTTTGTTTCCTTAAGATCTGCACAACTTCTTTCTACTAAAACAAAGGTAGACAACTTTTAAATAGGTCATCTTCTTGGTTAATCACAGTAAACATAGTTAACACACCCACCTGACACACAGCACTCAGGAATGTGGGCGCTGAAAAACAAGACTACCACCTGCCCAGGTGTCCGAGAAGAGACAGAGAAGGCAGGCGGTGCAGACAGGTGCCACCCCCACAAATCACTGGGCAAGCCTCAAAGATATGAACTGTGGAGAGGACTGTCACCACACACTGACCTTATCAGTGACAGTGCATGTGGAAGCACAGAAGGCGCTTTGTGGGCCATCCAGGGAGTGTCCTTGAATAACCAAGGTCAGGATGCTGGCAGAGGAAGTCACCAAGCAGCTATCGCACCGGGAGGCGCTCTGGGAGGGTGAGAGGCTCAGAGGCAGCTAAAGAGAAAATGTCCCACTGCAGAGCCATCAGGAAAGCTTCAGCACCTTGTTGCTTTCAGAAAGCTCTGCCAAATATAAATGAGGAATGTTTGCTCACCTCACAGAGTCCCTCACTGCTTGACATAGATACCTGATTCCGCTATCAGAGAGTTAATGAACTACAAAGCCACTCTTGCTCAGCATTGACAAGAACAATGGGCATCTTGGGAGGCCTGGTAGCCTGGTTTTCTGATGGAAGAGTCAGAAATACTTCTTGCATCATGAAACATTAATGATGTTTTGAAATCAAGAATAAAGACATTTCTCCAGCTCAGAGTACTAAAGATGCTTCCTGTGATCCAGAAAGCACAGGCATATTGATTTCTGGGTTCTTTCCTCCTAGTTTCATTATGATTCCCTTGAAAAGACCTGGTTTGGGGACCTGTGTGTCTTTGATCCAGTAAGTGAAAAAGCAGAGCTTCAAGACCTGGGGCTACAGGAAAGCTCTGGAAACCTAGGAGAACATCTCTGCCTTTACTAAGAAAGGCCCAGAAGAAAGGCCAACTTCCTGGCCACACCTTGCTTGGTGCTGGAGTCACCAAATTTTCTCTTCTTGGCCCAGGAATCCTTCCTGGCTTCAGGCTGTTTCCACACCTATGACCCAGAGCTAAACTCACGATGCCATGTGAGCTGGGAAAAGCAAAGTAGCCACTCAGTTTTTTGGATTGTTTCCTAACACTCATGATTCCTGGCAACTGAAAAGTGCTTCCAGGGACTGGACTTTCAGAGGGGCGGAAGAGGGAGGAGAGGAAAGTGATGTGGAGATTGCTGACAAGGTGGAAAGGCAGCCAGAGGGCCCCGAATCAGCGGGAGTTCACCTTCCTTCCCTCCACTCTCCAGGCCCCGGTGCCAGGGTCAACAGTTCATGCAGAAGAAATCAGGATTCTTTGGAGTAATTCATGCTGCCAAATCCATAGTGACAGCCCAGGCCAAATTCCCCTCCTATGTGAAGGTCACTTGCTCTCTGTCAAGCACTTGACAATTGCTCAAAGGGAAATGAGGAATTGTTTTGTATAAATGAGTCAACTTACCTTGAATTCATACCACTTGGGGTGGACCATGCCGCAATCATCAGACAAGTTTGCATGGCTTTATTTGATCATTATCATAAAACATGACATGTATTGCACGTCTCTCAGCTTATGTTTCGTGTCAGGTTTTAGCATGAAAATAATTTGGACATGATATATTCTAGGCCATTTCAGCAAGACTGGAGGCAACATGTTCAGAGTATGTGTTCACATTCCAATTATCTGCAGCAAGGAAGGAGAGAAATAATGGGAGTTATCCAATGTGGTAAGTAACTCGCCTGAACCCACTCTGTCCTTCCAAACTCCATCCCTTCATATGACCTTTATTCTAGAGATGGTTAATCCTGGGAGGTGGAGGTACCTGATGTGCAATTAGATGTCCAAAAACTGTGAAGATGGGAAGGAAAATTTGGGCAGGTTGAGGGGGTGGACAGGCACCTGGCAGAGCATGGTTAACAAGAACCATGGGTAACTGAGAGTGGACTCTGCAGGTACCTGGCTACACATTGGAAAATACATTCATTTGGTGCAATATTTACAACTGATGTGAAGGAAGAGATGAGCCTAGGCTGTGTAGTCAATCAAGAAGCATTCATGCTGCATTTTCACATAAGATAGAGTGGGAGATTTTAGTTTAAGAAAAAAGTGAATTTTTTTCCAATGTCTGTTATGAGCTACAGTGATATCATGGGAAGAAAACTTAACTTGTGATGGTGTCAATCACTCTGCTTTAATGCTGCTGAAGAAACTTCCTGATCATCTTAAAACCTTCCATTAGTAAAGCAGACACTTTGTCATGTGGAGATGGGTCCATGATCACTAGTTTCTTTTCAGCTACTTGGTTGCAAATCTTCAGTCAAAGCCAGGTTTACAAAGTTGTATGCATGCAAAAGAAGAATAAGCTTTCTAGTCTGTAGCCAGTAACTCCCACTGCATGCTTGCTGGGAGGGAAAGAAGGACCAGAGCAACCTCAACATTTGCTCAGAAGCCCAGCACTCTTGCAGAGGCCCTTGAGGCAGGGGGTACAGTCAGCTGGTGGTTTCCCAGTTGCTCAGTGAAAAAAGGAACATTCAGCCTTCAGACCTACAGATGCTTTTATCCAGGAAACAACTTCCTGCCACTTTTTCCTTCTTTCCATCTTGCTGGTGTGCATAAGGGTTCAAAGAAAAATTTAAAACTCTTCTTCCCTCATAGCAATCGAAGATTACTGGTATAATTATATCTCATGCAGGAAAACCAGGAGTAAGGGGGAATTTTGTCCATTTCTCCCAACTTCTAAATGTGTGCTCTAAGTTTTAGATGTCCTGCTTGATGCTTCTATATGAGAAACTGATTCCCTGATCGTGGGAGTCTGTATACACATGTATGTGTGTGTCTCTGTAGAAGCTTGCCTATGGAGATGTGCGTGTATGTGCACCTATGCATATAGCTGCATGTGTGGAATCTGGGGAGCAAATTTCCAGGAAAGATGCTGAGGAGAGAGGGCTCTAGTCTGTCATTGGTACGACACTCCAGGAAGGAGCTAGTTGAGTGCTGGGGAACTGAGTAACAGCAGTTAACCTGAATTCATCCCGGAAGAGCCAGCCTGCTTGTAGGAGGAAAGGCATTTCCTTCCAGAAGCCTGGACTATTGTGGCAGCAAGGAGAGTGCAGAACTTGCCATCATGTTCTGAGGAGGTCTGTCGAGTAATTGATTCAAGTCTGTTTGTGTTGAGAACAAGCACAGGCCTGCAATACCTTCCCCTAAAAGCAACGTGGGTGAAATCAATGAAATTAGAAACTAATGGATCATATGACTGAACATAAAACCTGAGGGATTTGGGGATGAACTGAAAGCTGCATATATAGGAGAGGGCTGCTGGCTACCACTGGGGCACACAGTTTCCCTGCTCAATGAGAAGCAGGGTAGGCTGAGGAAAACTTTTATATTTTGCTTTATTCTTTCCTTCCTCTTTCTTGCGAGGGAAAAAAACACAAGCAAACAAAACAAAAAGTAAGAGATCAAAGAGAAGGGGAGGAAATCTATAACCTGTTTCATGATTGATTTATTAAGCTTGAATTCCAGCAGCTGACATCACTCTATGGTGCTAAGCTCCCCACAATCTCATCACCGCTCCTTGGCATCCCCAACTCAGATCACCAGCTCAAAAGGTCTTGAACTTTTATCAGGAGCGACACTTTTTTGTCATTGTCCCTTTTTCTAGGCCACTTCCCTACCCCTGCCATGTCCTCCTCACTTCCTTATGTACCTGCAGCGATCCCATACCTTGTCATTAGAGCAGTGTAATTCCCTTCTTTGTGTCTCAAATACCCACTAGCTCTCTCCAAGCTGAAGTCATCTGTAACCTGCGCCTGGTTAAGCCAGCTCCTCACTTCTCTAAGCCAGTGCCAGCACTATTTTTGCAGCTGGAGACAAACCCACCACACTGGTCCACCCTGCCTCACAGTCTTCTCATTTCCCTGGCTCTCTGACATCCCTGTCACTCATCCTTCCCACTCCTGGAATCCTGCAGCACCCCTCTCCTTCTAGCTAGATGCCTGGCTTTTCATTCAACAAGATCATAGAAACACCCAGAGAGTGCCTGCTCATCCATACACACTCACTCTGACTGTCATGGTTTAGATCTAGAATGCCCCCCAAAACTTTTCCCAAATCTCCTCCAGCTCATCTTCTTAGTTCTGCTCACTTCCCAAGATAGATCTCATATTTGTGTGTGTCTAGTTTCTGCTGCCCTGATTAGGATGCAGGCTCCCTGAGGACAGGACCTTGCCGCACTCTGTTCTTTCGCAGACCCAGTGCCAAGAACCACACTGGCACATGCACAGCTGCCTTGACCATTGGTGACGGCGAATGGATGATGGAGATTATAACAGACCCAAGGGTGGCTGAGCTGCATCTGCAACCTTTCCCTCACTAAGGCTAACTGCCACTGGACTCTTTTCATCTGGGACTAGGAAGCATACGATTTGCCAGGAACACTTGTCTGAGAGGCTGATTCCTGATAAGCGAAGTCTAAGGCAAAACCAGAGCTGAGCCATTCTTCGTCTGCTCTCAAAGAAGCATCAAATTCACAAAAATTGTCAGAAATATGATGTAGTTCATACTTAAAGCTCCTAGCAGGGTATCTATTCTTCCAAAATGCCTGTGGGGGAAAATATAGGAATATAAAGATCAAACAGAAGTTAAATGTTGAGATACTGTCCATTATGTAAGTTGGACTAACTCCCTAAAGAATATTTATTTTCCTGAAATAAACAGAAAATACATTTCTAGCTACATTTCCTTATTTAAATAGCCAAAACTCTAAACATTAGCCTAAGACACTGCTGCCTTAGCAGTTAATGAAGGTGTCAGATCAGGGGCTTCCTTTTCTTCTGAAGGGGGGCTTTGGTGGCAGTTTATTAGCCACATCTGGCTGTGGACTATATAGTGGTACCCCAGGGAAAATAGGGTATATTGATCTTATACCCAACTGTGTCTTGTTTTCTACAGTAATAATCGCTATATTTTATTTTTATCATTCAAATATTAATTCTAGCCTAATAGTCTGGTTACACTGTTATTTTTATAGTATTGTCTGATTTTAAAATTACTGCATACACGTATTATTTTTATTTGCTTCCCCAATCCATTCTTTTTCTTGGCCACAGCTCCAGGATAGAAATGTCAAGAATGTATTAATCAATTTGTCCATTACCATTACTATTAATTACTATTAATGAAGTTTTGTATATTTCAATATTGCTGAGAGTAATTTTGAATGTTCTCATCTCAAAATATGTTAACTTGATTTAATTATTTCGCATTGTATTAAGAATATGACATCACTTTGCAGTCTACAGTTTTATACAACTCTAATTTATCAGCCTATAATAAAAGTTTTAAATAGAAGAATTTCAAAGATTAAAATATCGATTAAATTTTTTTTAAAAGGATGGGCTTCTCAATCCACCTGTATTGAAGATGTTATCTGTAAAAATTCCACATCTTTTGGCATGTGGACTTTTCTAATATTTAGTATGCCGTCAATTATTTGGAAGGTTTGAGGGTGAAGCAACTGTATAGTCATGCATGCTGGCTGGAAGTACACCAAGGATGGTAGGGGTAAACATATTAAATGGTAGGCCATGGTACACCCTCTGTCACACCCTATGTCACAGATTTTAAAGGGGAATAGTAAAGTCCACTTTTTAAAGCCTTACGTGCACATAAAATGAAACTAGCAAACACTTATGTGGTACCTAGTAAATAACAGAACTACACTAAGTGCCTTATATTAATTCATCCAATCTCATCACAAGCCTAACAGGTACACACTATTCTCTCCACTTGACAGATGACAAAACTATGGCACAGAGAGGGACAAATAATTTACCCAGGTCAATAGCTCTCAGGTGGCAGAGCTGCATTCAAACCTGAAAATCTCTCCTCTTACTGTGAGTCAGGCTTTCCCTTGTGATATTTTTCCTGGTGTCACATGGGCTGCTGTTTACAAATTCACTTCTTCTTGTGTCTTGGTTGAGCAGTTCAGTCTAAAAGTCAGTTTACATCCAGCACTTCCTTAGGCTGATGTGACGACTGCACACAAGAGCTGGGCTCCCCCAGCCACTCAGGAAGCCATAAAAGTGAAGGGAAATGTGTTGTTCTGGTGGAGCTTGCATTCTCGGGACAGTTTCGTACTGTTTGTAGCTGGATTCCCCCTTATCTCTGCTCTCTGGGTGATGTGGACAAACTCAGGTTTTCCTCTATTTGAAAAGTGCTGGATGTGAATTGGTAGACAGTCCAGGTGAGCGGAGATGTGCTAAGGAAGCGGAAGCAGCTGGCGTTGGGGAGGTGGGGTGACTGGCTTGTTTTCATGTGGGGGACTCACTGGAAAGCTCTCAACCAGGCCAGCCTGTCCCTCAGCTCCTGTGGGATCTGCTGCCTTCCCTCCCCTCCCCCACTCCCCGCTTCTGCCTCAGGGTGGCAAACTGCCAGGCCTCTCCCTCTTCCTTCTCCTGGTGGTTCCTGCAGCTGGTGGCTGTGACTGTATTATTTTTACCTCAAACCCTCCAGGACACATAAGAGCCAAGAAGGAAAGATGCACTGTTGCCCACGGAGTATGTGACCTGGAGAGCTAGTCTACTGTTTACAGTTCCAGTGCTGGGTTACAGTGGGGCTGAGCCAGGCAGGGAGTGTCTTGGTCCACAGACGGAAAGCAGACAGGGAGTGATGAGAAGCCCTGGCAGACTGGGATTATAATGACAGGGTGTGACCAAGCTAAAG